TGCCCTTACCCTACACCTACCCCACTCCCACCCTCTTCCCTGCCCTTACCCTACACCTACCCCACTCCCACCCTCTTCCCTGCCCTTACCCTACACGTACCCCACTCCCACTCTCGTTCCTGCCCTTACCCTACACCTACCCCACTCTCTTCCCTGCTCTTATACCCTACACCTTAGCCCCCGCACCTTGTCCCTGCCCTTACCCTACACCTACCACCACTCCCACCCTCTTCCCTGCCCTTACCCCACTCCCACCCTCGTCCCTGCCCTTACCCTACACCTACCCCCACTCCCACCCTCTTCCCTGCCCTTACCCTACACCTACCCCACTCCCACCCTCATCGCTGCCCTTATAATCTCCACACCTACCCCACCTCCAGCCTCGTCTCTGCCATTACAATCTCTAAACCTACCCCCCTTTCCACCCTTGTCCATGCCCTTACAATCTCAACACCTACCCCTACTCCTACCTATGCTCCTTCATCGATTATATTTGGGCAGTTTAGATCCATGTGGGTCATAGGCGATCTTTCTAGAATGAGATGCAGTATGAGAAAAGTTACCATCAAATTACACACATCATTGTCATAATACACACCACGCGAGAGAATTCGTAATTATGACCGTGTCACATTCGTTTCGCTTAATTTCTCTCTCCCTCTCTCTCCTTCCCTTCCCCTTTCTCTTCATCTAGCGGTCTTAGTCAAGTGCGCGGCCACACAGACGCGTGGAGGCACGCACTCACGCACGCACACAGACATGCACGCACACATTCATTAGCGGAGTCGCTACGGGGAGCCTGTAAACATGCACGTAGCATAGGAGCGGCTGTTTGTATATCTAAAACAAACTGGCGTCTACATGCGAGATATAAGGAGATGGGAATGTTGGGGAGACGAGTGAATGGCAGAACAGAGCGATGTAGGACGGCGGAAAGAAAAACGGAGTGATGCCGGTAGGGGAAGTGGAAAATAGAGAGATGCGCCACTCAAGGGAAATGTCAATTGTCTTCTGTAAACAGTTGTCTGTTCCACAGAAGTGATCAATAATACAGGTTTGACAGCACACAGCGGTTTGTTAAGCCCTGCTCAGGTCGCCCTACGATTTGACTATCGGCGACTACTTTATCGCCGATTAGCATCGTAGCAACACTCACGTCGACTTGAAGTGACGTTAACCCTGTACATCGGCCGATCAGGATCGGGTTTAAAAAGCGTTGCTGGGCAAGGAAACCGGTAGACGGGATTTCGCCGGCCCAGTATTTGTACTTAAGCACAACAAGTTTCTTTAGCACAAAAAACAGAGCAGCTTGACGCCGGACAGTCTACATTAAAACGCAAGTCACATGACCAACAAAACGGCGTCTTACCTACAGTAAACATCGCGGAGAACTTCGTAAATCCTAGCTCTAATTTTCTGAAAATTCGTTAATAACTTATGTGCAGAAAAATGAATTCTAAAAATTGGCCTGCTGCATATACGGAAAACCTTAATATATATTTGAGAAAGGGTCTGTGCAAATAATCTCTCCTTGTAAATGATGTGGCAGGCTGCATTTGTTAATCACGTCTCTTTGATAATCATGTGATCTCGACACGTAAACGGTGATGGCTGGCCACTTCAACGGATTGTCGCGACCGACTTCGGCCCATAAAAATAGAAACATGTTCTAATTCCTCCGATCGCAGTCGCCGAGCCGTATTTCGATCGTAAGGAGGAAACTCATGTCGTTAGTCACACGATGTTTTTATGCGGCGATCTGGCCGGTTTTTGACGTACAATCTTAAAATTTTGACGGCGACTAGGTCGTAAGGGCGACCTGAGTTAGCCTTAACATGAATGTGATTGTGGGGGACATTGTAGTCAGATTGATTGCCTTGCGAATTTCTTACCTGCTAATGCTACAGACGCATGGTAATAGACATGTGAAGTGTAACTTCAAGTGTTACATGTGCACCTGGTACACACATTAATTATTACCTGTGCACGTGGACGACAACATGATAGTTACTCAGCACCTATTAGAATAGACGTGCTGCTATTGGCTCTTGTCCTTCTTCTTCTGATAGGCCAAAACAAAATATAGGCTGTGGTTACAAGTTTCCCCGACCGACCATTTATTCCCAGCACACCACTAAAATTTTATGCCAATTTTCTTTAAGTCCAAAAAAAATTTAAAAATTAAATAAAAAATAAAAAAATGAATTTGGACAGTTCCTCCTTCAAAAGGGGCACAACGCACATCCTTCGGACATGGTTCGTAAATAAAATGTTTCAATAAAATAAAATGTTTTCCCTACCTACCTACCCTATTTTTTTTCGGCATGAAACGGTAACAACACCTATATTTTGTTTTGGCCTTAACTAATCATCGTAACTTTATTAATATTTTTCCATGATGACGAATGTGTATATCATTTATTTTCTTACACATAATGTTCTACTTACAATGCTGTTACCCTAGAGAGGGAGGATTTGTAGGTGTACCTTTACTGTAGGGCAATCTGTAGCTCTAGTACTATAGCCCGCGTACAGTTGCCGCTGCCAGTGGCAACTGTACGCGGGCTATAGTACTAGAGCTAGGCAATCTGTAGATGGAGCAGCAGGGGAAGCTTATCTCTCTACTAGAGAAATCTACGAATGGTTCTGCTCTTTTTTAAATTCGTTGTTTTACGTTCGTTTTTGAATATATTGCAATCCACGACACAGCTCTTTTAATAGTAAACAGCCTATACCCAGACTGCAACAACACATTGCAATAGGATTACATCAGTGCATGCGCGCGTGCACGCATGTGTGCGTGCGTGTAGGAGGCTTACATAAGATCACGCAAAACACAAATAAGCTGCTAGTTCATGCATTCAACATTACACATGCATGCAGTTCAATGTAACGAGAGCCTAACGTTGATGACACCAACACTGATGACTGTCACGTTCATATAGTCAGAGGGACTGTAAATGAAAAAGGAGAAAACTAAACATTAAATTCGACCAAATAATTATCAGATCAACACTGTGGATTGCAGTAGTTGAAAGTTTCTACTCTACTACATTAACGTGACTAAGAAGATAGGATGCGTTTTGGTATGAGGCTTGAAATAAATTGATAGTGGTCGCATAAATTCGCTATTAGATCAAACATTTACTTGGAAACACTACCACATACAACATGGTATAAACATAATTTTTTTAAAGAAAACCTATTTCATACAAAATTCTATATTTCTTACATCAAAGCGTAGCAAATTGTTGACACCTATGTCCTTGTTTAGCCTTTGTTTGGGCTGTGGATTGAGGATGGGTGGATTGGTGGTGCATGGATGTATTGGATCAGATTGAATGATCAATGGTTAAATTGATAGATACAACACCCATAGATTCAGATGCCTTCCCTTGCTCTCACTCTCACCCACTCTTGATGTTTCTTTCTCTCCTCTCCTCCTCTCTCTCTCTCTCTCTCTCTCACCCACTCTTGGTCTCTCTTTCTCTCCTCTCCTCCTCTCTCTCTCTCTCTCTCTCACCCACTCTCTTCCCCCCTCTCGCAATTAAGCTGAAGCCATATAGTTTTAAATGAATTGACAGCTATACTGTCAGGTCAGTTAAATTATAAAACTGATATCATTTACTTACATGATAATGATTCTGATAATGATAATGATAATGATAACAGATTAGTTACAAATAATTAAGCAGCGATTAGATCATTTCCACCAACATTCCTACGTTTAAGCAGGTTCGTTTGCATCGACTAGTTGGCCAAGCGCATGGTCGCACATGCATGAGTATATGGTAAACAAGTGAACACTAGTTTAACGGTACCTAGCATTTCACTTAGTGCATACATGAGCATACACAATCTATCACTGAGTGATCATTGTCAGTAACAGTGTGGAGACTAATATTATCAGGAGTGTATAGTGTAGAGGAGTATGACTCGCTCGAACAGAAGAAATTCAACATTTCCATTATTGAGTTTCATGTATTAATCATAGGTAAACAGGGGGTAGAAATTAACCCCACCACAAAAAAAATGAGGGAGTCCACAGCCAAATGAGAGAGTCCGTAGTCTGAAGTTCAAAATTCAATATATTAACTATAACGCATGTGCTAATCTTGAAGATTCATGCGGTTGCACGTCTGCAAAATTTTCTTTGGAGATTTGCTGAAAAAATACGGTAATTCCGCGAAGCCGTGCTCTGGAACGAACTAGTTAAAACTCGCGTTAATTTCGCACTCTGGGTAAACTAGGGCATGGAAATGTTGAATTTCTTGTTTCGAGGAGGGAGTCATACTCCTCGATATTATGACACTGCTGCTATTATAACACATGGAAAAAGTTACGACCATGGTTAACATTATATCTACAGTGTTTCTACGAACATGTACAGTCTCCTGGCTCTATCAACTTACCTTCGCCAACTAGTGTCTGGAGGTTGTAAATGGTAGGGAGACACGTCAAGCTAAAAACTTTAGTTAAGGCAGCAATTCATAGCATGTTCATCACTATTTACCTCCGCCAAGGGGTTGGCAGGAGGTTATGTTTTCACCGGCGTGAGTTTGTTTGGCGTGTGTTTGTTGGTTTGTGGGTTTGTTTGTGTACAGCCTAACTAAAAAGGTTATGGACGGATTGTCATAAAATTTTCAGGATAGGTCAGAAATGAGCTAACTTAGAATTGATGAGATTTTGGTGGTGATCCGGATCCAATTAATTAATAAATTAAGTATTAGTTAAATTTTGCAAGGATAGGTCAGAAATGGGGTATCGACTTGATTAGTGTTTGGTGCGGTGATCGGAATCAATTAATTATTTAATTAATTAATTAATTAATTAATTTTTTCACAGTGACAGAATTCAGCTGCCTTGGCAGAGGTCTGCGCTCTCTGAGTGCCAGTGGCGGATCCAAGAGGGGGTCATGGGGGTCATGCGACCCCCCCTCTGACCAGAAAGGGGGGGTCACCGCTAACTGTGACCCCCCATATCGAATATAATATATTATGTGGTGACTACAAATATGGTCTACTTTCACATTTAAAGCATAAGTTTTTCTTGGTTTCAGTAAACTTCCAACTTCCTTACAATATATTCAAAAGATGTATAGGCCTAGTGTCCATACAGAGTATCTATTTTGAAAACGTCTTGATATAAAGTGATTAAATCCTGCAAAAATAACCCTTATGTATGCACTAGAATTATCCTCAGCCGGTTTGGCTGCGCTCGCTGCGCTCGCTTGCCGAGCCACTACAACAGAAATATAATGACTTGTGACCCCCCTTCAGACATTCCTGGATCCGCCCCTGCTGAGTGCTCTAGTTACTAAATTATGTCTGACAATTCCAAAGGTATAAGATTTGAAAGCAACACGTTGCCTTTGTAAATAAACAAACAAGTTAAAATTATATAAGCCAACTTTCTCAGCTCAATGATTTAGCTATTCTAAGACTGAAATATCACATTCGTACATCACTTGTGCATAAACACCTAGATGCCTGCAGTGATACATTCCGCACAATTACCTATCGATTATGTTCACACACTTACTCACTAATTATTAATACAGACCCTTTCCCACTTGAATCTTAAGACTGTGCAGCTATATGTCAAATTAAATTAATTATTGATTTATTACCTTGTAGTGGCAAATACGAACTATAAGTACAACCTGAATGCACAGAATGAATTCATTACGATGTCATCACAGTAAAAGGATGCTCATTCGTTAAACTATCACAATTAACTACCAACGATTTAAAATCGATTATAGTTGACTTCTCTTTTAAAGGATACTCGTTTATCGAACGGACGATGTCGTACCATCTGGCGCCCTCTGTGAACTCGCTCCACCAATGCCTGTCGACTCTGCTGTGACTCGTCGAACAAATGCGATACATTCTAGCAAACGGAAAAATACTTTACATAGATTTGCATTTGATGAGGTTATACATGGTACGGGATTCAACGAGTTAATTAATTAGGATGCAAAACTTACTTTTACAACTACTTGCCTTGGAATGCAAGTGCAAAACAATATTAACTTGCTCTCACCAGATTCCAGTAGCTTGACAAAAAACTGCTACTTTGAGACATAATGAACAAGAGACATGTAAAATTAACATTTACCAGCGATTATTACAGGATAGCGACTATGTCTCAGGTATAGGCATCATTGTTTGCTCATAATCATACATTTGCCCTAGCTCTAACATCAACCAAAATAATAAAGTCATCTATCGATCTCATCTCATCTATCTAAGCACTATGGCACTCACTGTTTCTAGTCTCTATTAACATTTGGTCACATGAAGCAATTATTCATAATAATATAAGGCATCCAGAAGCTTCATATTAACAGATTTATGAACTGCTTGCCCCATATAATAAATTGATATATAACTTCTCTGATTATAATTTCAATACTTTCTGGATGATTCTTCTTTGCATTTTATATTTCAGAGCTGGGTTGGCATTTAATAGCATTAAAGTTTTTATAAGAACAAAAGTGTTGAGTGTTTTGCTGGTATGCTGTTATTTATTAGTTGATTACTTCTATACACTATGACTATGTATCACTAACTAGCATGCTAACAGGCCATAATAAAAATATTGTTTGTTTGCCCTCACCCGACCGACCCGCCAAAATGGGGCCCGACTCAAAATTTTGTTATTGATCTTTCCCATTCTTTTTTTCAACAAATTGTATCACTGTACATTATATAAATCTGTAGGCAATACATTATATGTACCAAGCAAAACAAACATTCATCATAAAAGGTATCTCCACACAAGCACACCCGAGCATGTAGACACCATGCTGAATTTGTAAAAAATTCCTCTCAAAAAAATAAAATAAAAAGCCTACCTACCTACCCAAACTTTTCAGCCTGGGTCGGGTGAGGGCAAACAGAGATTTTTTAATTGTGGCCTTACTTTTAGTTTTATTAATACCAGAATTAGAACTGCCAACAATATTTGGCTAAGCAGAAACAGTTTTTAGTCATGTTCAAAGGGAAAATGTAGGGATATTTATGCACATGACGCAACAGACGACAATTAATTGTCGACTGATTTCCAATAACAACTGAAATACAACTTGATTGTCTGATAATTATCATTCTCACAGCTATATAAATATTTTTGGTTTAAAAATAGGCATATTGTCCCAATTTTATTAATTCATTGATGTTCTAGTTACACCTTGCGTTTCTATAAATGCTACAGTACCTACTAATTAACGTGTGATGATTGATGAATTAAACACATCTATTTTTAACCAGTGCTAGTAAAAAAAAAACACCAAACAGAATCGGGAGAATACATATTCACAACTAGTTTCGCCTCAAAAACATTACCCGAGTTACTAATGTCAACCATGTTCGCTAGACTACGTATGAATAATCAACATCCTCGCGGTCGCGTGCGCATATCCCGCGGAACTGCGCGTCTCATCCGCGCGCAGCGCTTAGGATCAACAGCAAAGCTGTGCCACGCAATCTTGTATCATATCTCTCTGGACTACGTATGAATAATGCAGTTCCATGTTATCAAGGGTAGGTCAATTTTTGAACGTACGGTATTACTAATTTCCTGAGTCTTGACACTGTCAGTATTTGCTTGGAAATAAATAAAATCGCCAGACTGATACGTTATAGATAAGTGAGTGAGTGCTCCCACATGTGCGCAAGCGTCAACCATTTTTTTGGTGGCCACCTGACACCTCTTCTAACTACTAACTAGGCAAATCGCCTACTACTACGTACTACTACTACTAGTACTAGTACTAGTACTAGCACTAGTACTTGTTTACAGCGCGTTTGTGTAAGGTGTTTGGTAGACCGAATAATTCTGTCCCAGATAACCTTTTTTATATTTTGGTGAGGTTTATTGGCATCCAATAACGCATTACGTAATTGGCATCCAGTATAACGTATCCAAAATATAAAACGTTATCTGGGACAGAATTATTCGGTCTAGGTAGGTGTTTGGCAGAACAACATTTGAAATGCGATTGCGAGGAAAAAGTGCGTATCAACATAAGCATTCGCGCGGTCTTACCTGTATTTGAGTGTTAGTTTTCGTGATCCTAGATACATCTTTCATAATCTCATCAAAGGCAGCTGTAGCCTCAGCCTCCTTTTGTTGTTGTATTGCGATTTTCTCTACAAATTTCCGTGGGCTAGGACTGTTGGCCGCCATGATTGTTAATTTACCGCCAGAGTGCGCGACGTTCGACCATGGCCCTTTAACCGTATCGTGATCACTGATCTCTATAATATATTAATAAAATTATAGATCATTAATTATTATTATCATAATCATTATTATCATAAAAGTTATTATAGGGATCAGTGATCGTGATTCGTACCGTGCGTTCGTATCTTTTATCGTGATTCTGATTGATTCTATCATAGAAATAATAATAATAAAAAAATATTTTTATGCTTGAACCATGAAACAAGTTTGATGGCTAACTACACAGTTTAGCGTTGTGTGCAGTTTACTAGACTGGTACCCGTTTGCCACCTTCGCTCCGGCATATATCCTTCGCTACACTGACGCGTTTAGTACACGTTTAGTACGCGTTTATATAGTACGCGTTTAGCGAGGCATGAGTGTGATGAGTTAATTGAGCCTCGCCGGCTAACTCGTGAGATGTTAATTCACACGCCCCAACTCTAATATCTCGCGAACGATTAATTAAGTTACATTTCTAAAATTCTAGATACATACACATATATATATACACACACACACACACACACACACACACATATATATATATATATATGTGTTTATTGTGTGTGTGTGTGTGTGTGTGTGTGTGTGTGTGTGTGTGTGTG